TCAGCACTGGCAGGGGTCTCCATGTGGCTTCTCTAGGTCCAGGGTTCTCTGCATCAGGGCAGGTCCATGTGGCTTCTCCTCAGGGATTCTCACAGGGAGTCAGCCTTGTCAGCAGAGAGTCTCCAAGGAAGTGAAGTAGTGGGACAAAGTGTCTCCTGCCTCTCTGGCTCTTTCTGTCCTCAAACTCAATTCCTTGCATTGAAATCCCTTTGGTCACAGTCTAACCATAGCATTCCTAAGTATTTACTCAAGAGAAATGAAAATATATGCCCATACAAAGCAAATTTTCATAGCTGCTTTATTTATGATAAATAGGAACAATTCAAAGCCCTTCAAAAATGCTAACTAACATAAGCCTAAACTCAAAACTCACTACCAATGAGTCAATGTTGACACCCCCACTGTGGGTTCCCAAGACTGTAACTTTATGGGAATAGAAAGCCCAGCCTTTCCCCCACTGAGCTGGTCATGGTTGCTAACTGCTGACCATGTGGATCATATCCCAACATGTAACCACTACCCCCCCAGGGCTCCAACCTGATACAGTATTACTCAGAAATACAAAAGAAATACTAAAGGCAAGGAAAGATTATGCTGAGTGGAAAAAAAAGATACATACAAATTATATGTATCCGTTTTTATGCAACTCCAGAAAGAAAATGTAATCTAAAATGTAGACCAATTCTTCTCAGGGGCTTGTGGGAGGATGTAGGGGGGTGGCAGGAAAATGTGCTGCCTGAGAACCAAGAGAGCCCATTTTCATAAACTTCAGTTCCCTCATCTAAAATGAGGATAAAGTGCATTCCTTTGTGATAATTAAATGAGACTAAAACACTGCTGGCATATAGTAAAAACTGAACAAATGATGGAATATTACTATAGCAACCAATGTTGCCTTTTTGAACTATAAATTAACCTCATTTTACTCCCCTTCCTAAAATTCTTCTTGCCTTCCCATTGCCTTTAAAATTTTTTAAGTGGTAAAAAAAATAATAACACACATATACATGTTTGTAGTGTGTATATGTGTATACACAAAAAACTGACATGGACTCGGACCCCAAAAATACTATGTGTTAAGTTGAGCGAGCCATGATTTTCAGTTATACATCCCTGAGAAAGTGGTCTGACATGATCAATTAGTTGTAAGGGGATTAGAGTAAGATGCAACGCTGGTCTGACATAAGGGGAGTTTTCCTAGGGTGAGTCCCTTATTTCTTTTGATTTTATAAGAGATAAAAGAAGAGAAATGTAAGCAGAGGTCAAGGAACCTGATAAATCCCCAAGAAAGAAGATCTGGGAGTAGAATATGTCCTTTGGACCCTAAACTGAGAACCTTGTAGGCCCAGGGGAAGGCTGATGCCAAGAACACATGGAGAGCTCCAAGAACACAGAGGCCCACGGATGTTAAAATGGGATCAGAACTTTCCCTATGCCCAGAACCGAGAGAGAAAGCACCCTGGATTCAGACTTCTGGTCTCCTAAACTGTGAAAGAATAGCTTTCTGTGTGTTAGAGCCGTCCGAGATGTGCGATTTCTTGTATAGGAGTGTTCAATAACCACAAAAGATATTAGTTTTTGTTTTGTTTTGATGTGTTTTAAATCATTTTATTGGGGGTTCTTACAGCACTTATAACATTCCATACATCAAGTATATCAAGAAGCATTTTGTACACATGTTGCCATCATCATTTTCTAAACATTTACTTTCTACAAAAATATTTATTAATTCCACAATTTTATGTGTACAATTCAATCATATTTATTAAGCTCATCATATTGTATAAATATTACCACTAGCCTTTCCAAATTATTCTATTACCCTTACCCATTGCTTTTATAATAAAATCTAGAGTCTTACAATATCATAAAAAGCATCTTGCAGTAGCTGGCTCCTATCCATTTATCCAACTTCAACTCATCCCATTCCTCATCTCATTCATCAAGCTCTGCCAAAAAATAAAAATGTATTTGCTTACTCCATAGAACTTACCTCAATGTCTAAACTTTTATTTACCAGTACTTATTTTCTACCATAGCATGAGGGTGTCCCCTCCAAGATCAAACCATTGTCCTAGCTCAGTTTCTGGTATATAAACTCACTGCAGTTGAGTTGATTCTAACCCATAGCAACCTTATAGGACAGGGTAAAACTGCCCCTGTAGGTTTCCAAAACTGTAACTTTTTACAGGAGTAGAAAGCCTCATGTTTCTACCAGAGAGCAGCTAGTGCTTTCCAACTGCTGACCTTGAGATTAACAGCCCAAAGCAAAACCACTATGCAACCAAGGTTCCTCTTCTACTGCTCTAGAGTGGATTCTGACTGATGGTGCTCCCATGCATTGCAGAGCAGACCTGTGCTCCATAGGGTTTTCTTGGCTGCCATCTCAATGAAAGCAGATGCACTATGACCTGGTGCATAGTAGGCACTCAAAATGCATTTGAATAAACAACTTATTTATTCAAATTTATTCAATTTATTCAAAATGCAGTTGAATAAACAACGGAATGAACAAGTACATTGATTCCCTATATGACAAAACAAAGCCCAAGGAGGATGTTTCCTATAAATTGAAAATATCAAGATTCCAAATTGAAATATCATAATAAAACAAAAATATCAGTCACCAGCAAGTTAATTCTAACTCATAGAATTTATTGTAGAGTAGAACAGAAAATATGGTTTTCGGTGGGTGTGATGTTGAGGAAGTAGATCACCAGACCTTTCTTCTGATACACTCTAGGAAACACAAACCACTTTTGGTTAATAGCATACCTAACTATTGGTGCCATCAAGAGACTCCAAATATCATAATAGAGCTTAGTGGGAAAAAAAAAGACACAACAAAAGTTGGCATTTAAATGGTGCATTTAGATACAATACTATGAGGGAAAGCTTTATTTCTGAAACTCATTCCTTATTGTCAAATTCAACCATCCCATCTGGATCTTATTTTATTGGATAGTTGGACCTTGAATGCTGCTGTTTTCCCTTTTCTTCCATTTTTTCCCCCTGCTGAAATATTCTTACATGTTTCCATTATGTCATGTATTTTGTAATTTTAGCTTAAATGTCTGGTTTCTTTAAAAATTCTCAGGGACAGCAAATCTGTTTTGCCTTAGGTAGTCCCAGATTTTAACACAGGGATATTTTGGATACATATAGGGACCTTTTTACTGTCCTACTCTTTATACTTAAAAAAAAACCAACCAACTTTCTATAAGTTTCCAAGACATCAAAACTCCTTTCTTCCAAAGATGCCTTTCCTCCCGTCCCCCCAAAGGCCTGTAAATATTTGTAAGTACTGAAGATTCCCATGATATTCTTTGTAGGAGCAAAAGCTACAGATCATGGAGAGGAATCAAGGTAAGTGGAACCTCCAGAACCCAGGAACCTAGGAAAAAGCTCAGAGGATGATGTTCTGACATGCAACTTCCCCTAACTTGCATGAGGCCCTGCTGATCCCTGTCATGAGGAAGGTGGACCCCTGTATATGATGACCTCTGTAGAGGTGTGTGCTTTTCACCAGGGTGGTCTTTGTTTAGTTTAAGCATTTGCTTTTAGAAGACAACCCTTTTCTTTAAAAAGACAGATTGTAAATACTTTATACTTTGCTGGTCTCATAATTGTCTCTTTGAATCTCCTTCTTTGTTTTGCCTGTTTGTTGTTGTTAGTTTCTGCCAAATTCCAATTGAAGACAATTATGAGACAAAATGACACATGTAGACCATAATAAAATTCTGCCACTCCTGTGCCATCTTTTGACCATTGGTATGCTCGAGACCATGGTTGAAGCTATTGGTTTAAGCCATCTCAGCAAGGATCTTCCTCATTTTTGCCTATCCTGTATTTAAAGAAGGTTCAAGTCTCCCCAGAGGCACCTCAGAAGAAAGGCCTGGTGATCTACTTTCAAAAATCTCAGCCATTGAACATGATACAAAGCATAGTTCTACTCCAACACACATGAAGTCACCATGAATTAGATTTGACTCGGTTCTACTTGATCAGTGACAACTGATCAAGGGCCTTGAGCCAGAGGGCCTCACTTCTCAGGCCCTGCCATACTGGTACTTCCTCAAAGAAGTCTGCCTTAGAACTTTTATTTACCCCCCCGCCAAGGAGGATTTGAAGATCTCTTAGTATGGCTATAATCTTTTGCTTTCATCTTCGTTCTGGGAGTTAAACTTTAGAAGAGATGTCTAAGGAGGTGTGGCATGGGCAATCTGGCTCATGCCCCTCTAAGATGGCAAAACCCAGCAGTCACAGTCCCCCTTCAATTTGAACATCTTCTAACATGCCGTCATCTGAGGTTGGTAGTTATACCGAGCAATCTTGGCGCCTATTCCCTCAGGGCCTCCAAGGGTTCTTGGGACCTCAGTATCTTATAATGCTAACATTTAATTTCTGGATGTGATATATAAAACACCTTGTGGGCAGGGGAAACACACACACACACATACACATACTTATTTACTGAGTAGTTTGTAGGGGAAAAGTCACAAAGTTAGTACAAACTGCACCTACTACTCATTTATTGACTTTCATCTTGTCTGACACTTCACATTCATGACAATAGCACAAAATCTACTTTCTGACTTTTTTGCACACTAATGAGGCAGTGTATCTGGCAGTCATAAATACTGAGATGTTTGGCCAGAGTAAAACAGGCTGTGATGCTTAAGGTTATGTGTCAATTTGGCTGGATCATGATTCTCAGTAGTTTGGAAGCTATTAATGCTATTATTTGGCAGTTAAGTAATGATGTAGTATTTTTTACCATTTTGTGATCTGATGTGATCAACCTCCGTTTTCTTGTAACAGCCATTTTCACCTATCGACCTGACCTTTATAACCTAACCATGTCAATAAGTGAGGAGTGGGTGCACATGTAATTTTCACATAGTACTAATTACACATTATTGAAGCCTAATACTGAAAAATAGTGGCTATAAAAACACCAAAAAATCTAATGTTTAAATAATAAAGAAAAGGTAATCTGATAAGGACCAAAGTTGCTTAAAAGTTTATTTAGAGAGGTGATTAAGACAATCTCCAGAACTCCAGACAAGAAGTGAGGCAGGTCCGGGGGTGGTAGGACACATGAAATGGCTTGATTGCCATAGTCTTCAGCCAAGAACTTTTCTCCAAGCAAGTAGTAAAGTGGATTTTCAAACTCTGATAGTTTTTCCCCTAAGTCAAAAGAACAAGTGGATAAATTTTGTCTTTTGGGAAATTATCTCTTACCATTTTTATGCTATTTCGTTCATTCAAGAAACATTTATTGAATTCCTGCTAAGAGCCAGGCCATCTGGCAAATGCTGTGGATAAAACAAATGCTATAAAGATAAAACAAACAGAGAGCTAATCTTGTGGGAGAGCTTGAGTCTCCTAGTGGATGATGGAAGCAACAACTCTAATTTATTAAGTATGACCCAGGTGTCTGTTATTACCCTATTAATATGCATAAATATACCTCAAGGTATGGTTCTTATTTTCCTGCTGTGGAAATGAGGGCATTCCAGAGTGTGCCGAACCCCAAGCCCAGGTCTTTTTGCCTCCAGGACCCTGCTCTGCTCCACTCCAGCACTGTCTTCTTGAAATAGAATCCGAGTTTCATATACAAGATGGCTTCAAAAAATTCACGGTAAAATGGAATTAAAATATAATAGAATGTTTCCAAGAACTTTTTTGAAGTCCCTCATATAATTTTACATTTTCTAAGAGCCACACTTGAAAAGATGTAAAAAGAAGCAGATGCAACCAACTTGAATTATATATATTCTTTAACCGAATCTATTCCAAACCACTATCTTTCCAACAAGAAATGAATATAATCATTGTTCTTGAAGCATTTTATTTTCATCATAAAAATCCAGTGGACCACAGTCATGAGGAATGAAGTCCTGATACATGTTACAACATGGCTGAACCTGAAAACATTATGCTGACGAAATATGTCAGACACAAAAAGATAACATTGTGACTCCACTTACAGGGAATATTTAGTACAAGCAGGAATATAGAGAATAAATTTCATTAGGGGTTACGAGGGGTCAGAGGGAAAGGAGGCATTGAGATTCTGTTAACATCTGTGGACTAATTTGGAAAAGAATAGTGGTTATGGCTAGACAATATGATGAAATTATTAATGCCACTGAATTTTGTAGGCAAAAAAATTCGACATGGTAAATGTTTTGTTTTTTATATATACACATACATACATTTGATATACATACACACACATATATATTTATATATATATATTTTTTTTTAATTCTTTGGACTGATCATTCTTCAAGCACCCAAGTCATATGAGGCTATTTGGGGGTTAGCCTCTGTCCATGTGTCACTGTTGCTCATCGCTAATTATTGTTGCTCCATGGCCACCAAGTGGACTCTGACTTATGATGACCCCAAGCGCTACAGAATAGAACTGTTCCACAGGGTTGTCTTGCCTGTAATCTTCATAGAAGGAGGTCACCACACCTTTTTTCCATGGTGCTACCGAGTGATTCCAAGCTGCTTGTACCTCCCAAGCTTTTTATTGGTGGTAGAGACAAAAAGCAAGGTCAGGAGCCACCTCTCCGAGAGCCTAGAGAGGAGGTTGTTTCCTCCAATGAGATTGAGTTTCCATCATGCGAAAACAAAGGATCTGATTGTTAAGACCCCTATACATGTCACTGCAGACTATCAAGGCCTTTCTATTGCCTGCTTTGGTCAATCTCCAGGCCTATTTCTTCCTAGCTAATATGTTCTTTAAAATGTTCCTTCTCTCTTTTCTCCAACTCTATGCATTCTTTTCATGATGGTGTCAATGTCTCCTTGAGTCTTAACTGGGTTTCTTCTCCTAAGGACATGGATGTTTTTAAACTACGTGTCCCTGAAGTTGTTGATCTAATGATAGAATTTCAGCAGTGTGGCAAGCAAGTAGGGAATAAAGATTCACCTAGTGCTTGAACTGAAAAATTGTAAAACCTGGTTAACACAGAAAGGCTAGTTTAAGGGTTAAAATAATAAAAGCAAATAAATCAAGTAATGTGTGTTTTTGTTGTTGTTTGTTTTTCCTGAAACTGCAGTCTTCCCTCTAGGTTTGTGACTCTCCATAGCTCTATACCTTAATTTGAAACAAGGCACTCAAAAGAGGCATCCTGCTAATATTCAGTTACTTAAGGGAAAATATGAAGGCTTCATAAATAAATGCGTTGCCAAGCCTTCAGAGCTGCAAAAGGCTTGTGCCGAGAACTGTCAAATGTCAGAAATAATTACCAGGCAGAATGTAACTCACACATCTTGCAGACATGATCAACACTACGTAATCCTTCCTGCCTTCATCTGTCTGGACAAAGTTCATGTAGGAAAGAAGCTGAGCCTGGCGCCTTTGGGCGTCCAAGACTTGGAGAAGACAGTCCTAGACCTAATTCTGGAACACTATGTCACTACCAGAGTCCACCATTTATAGATCCACCAGTCAGATGATGTTTTGCTTGAGTTTGCTTTTATACATGTACCTGGAGTTGTTCATAATTGCCAGGATATTTAAACTGTTCTACTACAAAATGAAACAGAAGATAGACACAGAAAACTATACCAAAGGGGTAAATTTTAAGGAATTATAATAACCAGGTAGGTCAAGAAATAGGACTCAACAGTCTTCTTAGAAACCCCCATTCTAGGTCTCATCCAAGATATGATCTCCTACAAAGATAGAGAGCGATTGCAAACTTTGGTAAAAACAAAGACAAAAAAATTTCCCTTGTCTTACCACCAAAGACCAAAGTGTGAATCCCCGGACAGCACAGTCATTCACACCTATTTTTAAAGAATCTGAAAGGTTTTCATCTTATCTCATATATAATTTCTCCCTCCAACCTTTATTTTTCCTGATAGGCTATCTATTAAACTCACAGAGATTGAGTCAATTCCGACTCATAACCACCCTGTAGGAACGAGTAGAACTGCCCCGGTGGATTTCCAAAGTAAATTCTTTACAGGAGGAGGAAGCTTCATCTTTGTCCTGCAGTACGACTGGAGGTTTCAAACTGCCCACCTTGCAGTTAGCAGCCCAAAGCATAACCTACTACACTATCAGGGCTCCTTTCATCTACTAAAATATGTTGTTTCTAAAGTTTCTTTTATCTTTACGTCACTCCTCACCATTTCCTCCCCCACTTTCAAACATGTTCCACAACCTCCCCCCCGCCATACTTCACTAATTCAGGCTAACCAGAGTTGTCAGCGATTTTTTTCCAGTCATTTTCCCCATGCTAATATACCATATGTAATTTCAGATGTGCACACATCTGCACTATCAGAGTCCCCAGTGGGCACAAATGATCAAAATACCCAGTTGCTAACCAAATGGTTGAAGCTTTGAATCCACACAGAGGTGCCTCAGAAGAAAGTCATGGTGCTGTTTCCCTCAAAACCAGCCTTGTAAAGCCCTATGGAGCAGTTCTGTGATAAATGTGGAGTCACTCTAAGTCAGATTCAGCTCAATGGCACCTGAGGGTTTTTTTGTTTTTGTTTTTGTTTTTCATGGAAATAACAACTATACTTACTGAGCACCTATTTTATTCCAAGCATCATTCTAAGTTTTTGAATGCAATAACTAATTAATTCTCACAGCAACCTTATGAAATATATACTGTTTTGCTGTTGTTGTTTAATCTCTGTTGAATATATGAAAACCAGAGACACAGAGAGGTTGCATTAAGTTCCCAGAATCACACAGCTATTAAGAATTGGATCCAGAAGCAAACCTGGATCTAGAAGAGAATAAACACAAAACATAGCTACATCAATAGTTTGGATACAAAGATAAGATTGCATGAGACATTTCTTTATACAGCACTTGGTGGAAATTCTTCCAAGTCAACCTACCCAGATTCATTATATTTTTCACTGCAGCACAAACACTTATTCTGATGACCTTTTTTTTCCATCAGTAATTGGCCTGATGACGAACCTTTATTGTGTTCCCAGTTTTATGCTCCAAGAGCAATGCTACAGATAACATGTCTGAATGGAAGTGTGGAGATAACTGGAACCTTTATTTCTAGGCAATGAATCTCAAGAGTGGAATTACAGTGTTGCCCTATATCAGCAGTTCTCAACCTGTGGATCGCGACCCCTTTTGGGGTCAAACAACCCTTTCACAGGGGTTGCCTGATTCATAACAGCAGCAAAATTACAGTTATGAAGTAGCAACGAAAATAATGTTATGGTTGGGAGTCACCCCAACATGAGGAATTGTATTAAAGGATCATGGCATTAGGAAGGTTGAGAAACACTGCTCTATATGTATGCTTTTAATAATCATTGCTTTTTGAGTCCCAAAGAGAGCTGCAATGCTTCCCCTTTCTACCAGCAGAGTGTGAGAAATCCTACCCCTACCTCTCCATCAACAGTAGGAATTCCACCTCTTTTAAGTTTTTGTCAGTGATATGAATATGGGGGTACATCTTTGCTTTTTAAAGTTGAATGTCCTATTGGAACAGTTTATTTGTTTTAATGTTTGCCTTTTATCATTTGGGTTTGCTCTTCTATTTATGTTAGGGGTATCTGTAAACTAGCAATGTTATCCCTTTGTCTGAAGAACCTTGCTTAATTATATATCTAAAAGTCATTTGCTCTTTAGTCCACCCAATTCATGTTGACCCCAGTGTGTCCAAGGAGAACTTTGCTCCATAGGGTTTTAAATGGCTACTTTTTCAAAAGTAGGTCTCCAGGCCTTTATTCCAAGATGCTTCTGGGAGAACTTGAACCTTTCAGTTGGCAGGTGTGATAGTTAACATTTTATATCAGCTTGCCTGGGTCCTGATTCTCAGAGGGTTGACAGTTAAGACAGTTAATATCTGATATAATGTAATAATCTCAATGATCAGATCTGCTTTGAGCAATCAACCAATTGAAATACATTTCCTTGGGGGTGTGGCCTGCTTCCAATATCTGTGGGTGATGTGGAAAAGCTGGTTTGCTTTTTGCTGGGTCGGAATCCCGCAGCTGGCCTGTCATCTTTGAACTTGAGCCTGTAGTTTGCTATATTGCCTGCCAGTCTTTGTAGTTGTCAACCCCCTGTCAGCTTACCTGCTGACGTTGGATTCGTTTGCCAGAACCCTACTCTCTGGCCTGATAGCCTTGTGTTCATTAGTCTCTGCAATCAGGAGAAACCTCCAGCCTGACATCTGATCCACAGACTTGGAACTTACCATGCTCTAAAACTGTAAGCCATTTCCTTGATATAAACCTGTTGTATACATACCTATATAAGCTCCACTGTTGGGCTTCTCTACAGAACCCAGCCTACAATAGCAATCAAGCACATTTACCATTTGCACAAACCCGGGACTCTGATTACAGAATAAATTCTTAAAGGAAAAATCTGAAAAAAATATTCTCTGGATATTATGACATTTATCAGGAGTTTTACACTTTTTCTAAACACTTATTCATTGACTATGAAGAGAAGAAATTTAGTGAACAAAAGATACTAATTGCAGAAGTTTCTTTGAATCAATGTCCCTCTCTTCTTCAAGGCAGATAAACATATGAGAATGTTCCATCTGAGACTTTATGGTGACAGATTTTCCAAACCAGAATTGGCAGATAAGTAACATTTATCACATAAGACTCTGTCTTGGTTATATGAAATTTTTCCTACTCTACCAAGTCCAAATGGCCAAGTAAACTTTGCAAGATCTCTTTCGTAATTAAGTTTCCTAATAAACAGAGTGTGAGACAGACCTTGGAGGCAGGTCATGTATGAGAATCTGGTAGGTGACCCCAGGATTTAGGAAAAGCCAGGGATAGAAAGGGAGAAAAGAAAGATTATGTCATTCTGTTCAGTTCAACTGGGTATCACTGTGGGCTACTTCGCTCACCTCAAAGCAAAAATGTAGAAAGTGCCTCAGAATTGGCCCTCTGATGGAGGGGGAGGGGGGTTGGAGTACTTGCCCACCAACTCTCACCCCCACTTGGTGTGAACAACTCTGTACTTGAGGGACCCTCCTGAATGCAGGTTGAGTGGTCTTCCTGAACCAAGAGGAAGCCCTGAAGCAATGCAACAGACACTGTGACAGGCACATGTGTCACCTGGGAAAAAATTCATGCGTGTATCAACTGGAACCCTAGGAGCAATATTTTGCTACTTAACCTCGTGTATGAAATTTGCAATAGGCAAATGCAGAGAGAAGGGAAAATGAGAGTTATTGTTGAAAGAGTACCAAGGCTCTGTTTTGGGTAGGGTCAAATTTTTGGAAATGGATAGTGGTATTGGCAGCATAAATGATGAGTGTAATTAATGCTACAGGGTGTAAAAATAAAAATGGCTAAAATTAAAAATGTTTTATCTGATACGTTTTAACAAACAATTTTTTTAAAATAAAAAAATGACACCTTCGAGAGGTAGCAGAGTGGTGGGGAAGGGTGGGGGGAGGGCTTGGGATCCAACATACCTTGGTATCAAATCTGGCTCTGTCCCTGCTGGACTTGCTGTACTCAGGACTTGTCTTGCTACCTTGGTCTTGCAGAGACAAATGCCTCTGAGAGCACAAGGTCGTGTGACTTTGCCTCTATCTATGAGAGCTCCGTGATGCAAAGGCCCAGATCTAGAATGTTCAAGCGAGGTCACCTCTGCTTCCAAGGAAACATCTGCATGAAAGAAAGCAGCAGAGAGTGGAAAGGGAAACCCCAGCTTTGACAATAGGTAAAACTAGTCTCCTGGACAATCCTTTTACTGGGTCCTCTGAACCCTGAAACCCTTTCACACTATCATTCTCCAACCCTGTCTATAGTCAAAGAGGCATGGATCAGTGAGAAACTGATCCACTAGTAGAAGCAGCATCCTGTCTGCACAGAACTCGGGTTTCTTCTAGAAACACCTGAGATGAAAACTTGATCATCCCACAGAAAAGCAAATGAGGGTGCGGGAGTGAAAGAATTTCCCTTCACTCTTGAAAGAGAAAATGGTCTAGAGTTGACACACTGGAGACAGCTCAGGTATGTGCCACTTGTCACATTGTGAAACTGTCATCTCCCACTCACCTCTGAGGCAGAAATATCAAAACTGACACTCCCTCATGGCTGAAGAGTGATTCCCTGAAAAATGACAACAAAGCATTTGATCACGAACAAGTCCACACAGAACACCTCCCTTCCTCCTGCAGTTAGGAGTCACGATGCTAATCCTTTAATTATGCAGCACGTTTATCTGTCAGAAACTGACTTTTTGTGACTGCAAAGGACTTTGCTTGTTATCACAGGAGGCTATTAATAAATATCTGCTCAAAGAATTTTTGGTGTCTCTTCTTAAAAAAATAATAATAACAATAAAAACATAGCCAAGAGTGGGAAACTCAATCCTCTTAAGGAAGCAAGCCCTATATAGACCTAAGTGGCCCCCACTTGCCAGCTTCCTGAGGGAGGAGCTGGGAGCAGCTCTCGGGTCTCACAATGGTACAACACGGGCTGGGCTTCTTCAGTGCCATCCAGTTGGCGTCACCTCATGGTGACCCAGGGACAACAGAGCAAAGCATTGCCTGGTGCTGCATCAGCTTCAGGATCTGTCAGACTATGTTCTGCTATGGCTCACAGGATTTTCCTTGGCTGGATTTCTGAAGTAGATCACCAGGTCCTTCTTTCTAACCCACATTAGCCCAGAAGCTTTGCTAAATGGGTTTGCCTCTATAGCAACATGCAAGCCTCAACCACAGAGAGGCGGGGGGTGCCCATGAGGTGCATTGCCCAGAAATAAAACCCAGGCTCTTATACAAGAAAAGCCGCAGCAAAGTCCCCTGTGCACGTGATAGTGCATAATGAAAGCTCTTTTTAAAGTGTAAAGACAGTGTATGTTAACAGGAGAACATGCATTCGTTAAGCCAAGGACTCGGCTTACAGATGTGTGAAGCCCAAGTGAGCAGTTTCGATTCCTTTACCCTACCCTCTTCCCTCACTACCAGATGCCCAAAGTGTCATGGAAACTGCAAGCATCAGCAGTTTAATAAATAACTTTAATAAAACGACCTGCACATTCTAAAACTAAAATCATTAACGCATTCTGATACTTGAGCATCGCATCGTGGAGGCACTGACTCAGTAGTAGGAGTGTTGCCTCCCATCAGGGAGACCCTGGGTTCCATTCCCAGCCAATGCAGGTGGCTGTAATGCTGACCAGGTTTCACCAGGTTTCCAGACTAACACAGACAAGGACGAAAGGCCTGATAATCCATTGCAAATCAACCCATGAAAACCTAATGGAGCCCAGCAATTTGATACCCAGCTCATCGTGAGGATGGCACAGGACCAGGCAGAGGGCTGGCTCACCCTGAGTGGGGACCAGTTGACAGAACAGTTAACAACAACAGTGTGACAGCTGGGGAGAGAGAGCAATGTGAGGTCAATGGAATCCACTAAACAACCAGGGTAAAAAACGTAAAGGTGGCACTTGAAATCAGTGCACAAAAGACGGCGTTGCTATCTATCTAATGCTCTTGCAGGGTTTCAAATGCATAGAAATCCCAGCACTTGACCAACTTTAAGGCCTGACACATTCTTCATAAATCTACATTTCTGTGCTGCAATTTCAGTCAATTCCATATTTCTCTGTCCCCAGGATGGGCTCCTAAACCCGATGGCCATGTGTTCAGGGTCCATTCTTCTGTCTGGGGTCGGTAGGAGGTCACCTTGCTGGCCTGAGAAGTTTGTCATATGATCATTATTGTTTGATGACATGAACACCAGACCTTGCCCTGTACTTGGCACAGAATACACAGTGCGATGATCCAGGTGTCCTGCATTCATCAAAGACAGCATGGTTGAGCTTTCCAAGTGTACCCAACACTGCCCATTTGGGAAGCTTAAATGGAACAAATTACTTTTTCCACTCATAGAAGTTATGTATTCAGAGAGACTGAAAAATATCAAAAATGGGTGAATGGGAGATAATCTATACCCAGAAGTGAGTCACTAAAAAGAAATATTTTAAAGAATCATTCGTGCATTGCAGATCATTACTTAGTAACATTTTAGCATGCTATATACTCAATGAATTTTTAATTTTTTAGTTTATACACTTTATTGAGAAAACTGACTAGTCAGAAAAAGTTTAAAAGTACTCAGTTCATACCTTACTCATAAATCAAAATTAATTCCAATGGCCCCAAACCGTAAACCATTAAAAGTATCAGGAAAAAACGTATGACTATATATGCTTACATTTTTGCTGAGGATACCTAAGTGTGATGCAAAGAAGTTGTAGGAGATATATTGATACATCCAAGCACACACAAAAAATGGGAAATAATTAAGTGCACATACACGTATACGTACTTAATTTCCCTTCATTTCTTTTGAATACACACACACACATGTACAGGCTTACCTTGGAGATGTAGTGGGTTTGTTTGTGGACCACAGCAATAAATCAAATATCACAATAAAGTAAATATTACAGTAAATCAAGCCACACAAATTATTTGGTTTCCCAGTGCATTCAAAGTTGTGATTCTACTATATTATGCTGTAGTATATTGTGTACAGTATTTTGAAAGTTTTAAATATTTTGAAAATTACCAGAATGTGGCACTGAAACACCAAGTCAACACATGAAGTTGAAAGAATGGTGCCGCTAGGCTTGCTTGATGCAGGGTTGCCACAAACATTCCGTGTGGAGAGACCACAATACTTCTGAAATGCAATCAAATGAAGTGAGGGCAAGTCAAAATGTATTACTACAAAATCATAAAACCCTTGCTTGACCAAAGCTATCAAATGTGGTACTATACTTTCTTGACCTATCTCCCATCGAGGTTTCGAGACACTTCAGAAAACTGTGTTGGCATCTCTTTAAATCTTCCCCCAAAGAATTCTGTACCCTGCATGATATCAACAAATCTAAGAGTCACTCTCAGTTATGATTTATTCCATAAAAGCATCTTCTTTCTTGCTTGCAAGACTGATCAGAAGATGGAGAGGAAAACAAAGGTACGCCTGAGAACACCTCCCTGCATCTACCTGCTGGCAACCGAGACATGCTTAGACAGATTCTTTTATCAGGAAAAAGCCATCTGTGTGCATGGGACCTGGAAGCCTAGTAACAACACTTTTTTGACTTATGCTCACGTGCCCAGAACAGCTAACAAACTGTAATTTAAAAAATATTAAAACTGCAAAATGCCATGACAGACAGTAAGTTAAAACAAAGAATATCCTTTTGCCAGGAGAAGAAGCTGTACAATCCATTCAGGAGAGATGTGGAAAGAGCCTAATGATTATGGTACAGGGAAAAAGAGGCAGTTGATACATGAATAATGAAATTTATATTAAATTCATTTCAAGTCACAAGCTATCATTTTTCACTTTGCACACAGAGGGAAACAAGGTTCGACTAATATAGGTGACTTTTGCAAGCAATAAGAATAATCTTTTTTGTTTGTTTGTTTGTTTTAAGAGAACGACCGTTTTGGAGAGTCATTTGGCAAGACCTACCAAAAAATGTAAAGCAAATATATTTCTACAAGTGATTCCTCATTTAAGATATGTAAAACGTATGTGTAAAAGGACATTTGTTAAACAACATCTATTTCAACCAAATGAGAAGTCTTTTATACTCATTAATAGAAGACTCCATGGCACCTAACATCAGTCCAATACGATCTGAAATATTCTTACTAAGTCCTACCAAAAAGAATAAAAGAACTCTTTACAGTGACATGGAAAACATATCCATTTATTTTCAAGTTACAAAAGAAGTTAACAGAAATATAAGATTCACTCAAGTGAGACCAAAGTATAGCTATGCACACACACTCTTTCACGTGCAGACAAAAGCCCATAATAGAACACAATGGGAAGTGAAATTTTGAACACTGTGGAGGCAAGACATCATTAGTTTAATGTTATGTTATTTACTATGTGAAATTAGAAAGTCTGAACTTGCATTATTTTTAAATTATGAAATAGGAAAAATTACTGTTCTGTCCTAGATATATATACTTCCACAATTGTAAATGAGAAGCACCTTCAAAAATAAATTTTATATTATCTCTCTGGTCCATCTTGACTATAAAACTCTCTGGAAGTAGTATAATCATTGAGTCTCCTACTAGTGGGTATATTTAAAAAGAGGGGAACAGAACAGGGCAAGCAATTGGGAGGGTTGATAAGTTGTTAACGTTGTTGAATATGAAAATGATGATCTGATATCATCACCCAATTCGCAATAAAAAAGTTTTTTTAAAAACTCTCTTAAAGTACATGAATTTTTTCA